CTCCCCAAAACCCCAAAACCCCAAAACCCCTCCTTCATATCTCTTTTTTGAAATTTTAAAATTATAAATGGAGAAGAACCCCAACGATACTCATCTCATGGCATGAGGTAAGGCCAACTCTGAACCCATCAGTATAAAAAATTGACCTATAAGGCCAATAGGAAGAGTCTGAAATGCTAATAGTCATATTATAGGAGAACGAGGGCTCAAAATGAAGGATTCCACTAACACCATTCACCTAAAGGTATAAATTAAACTAAATTACTTCACCTGCTGAGGGTGGTCCCTAGCTACAGAATTTAACTAATCTGACTATCTAGGATCAAACACTCCTTCATAAAGTTGATAAGAGGAAGCTCGAATTACTAGTGACTCAGGCTAACAAGGAGAACAGGAACATGCCTACACATAACAAAAAAGACTCTAAAAGGGATCAGAGGAACAACAGCTCTGAGCCTAAGGCTATAGGACATGCCACATCTGGCTGAGAGAAGGAGAATCTTCCTTTCCAAGCCTTGTCTCCACAACCTCAGCGAGAAGGGTTGCTTCCTCGAGTCCAAAGATTGAGGGACAGAAACAAGAAGACACTGGTTCTTGACCTAGATGAGACTCTTGTTCATTCTTCATTCGATAAGTGAAAGTGCGACCTTGAACTTCCCATCATAATGGACAACCAGAGGTATGTAGTGTATATCAAGATCAGGCCAAGGGCGATAGATTTCCTCCGCAAGATCACTAAGTACTACGAAGTAGCTATTTTCACAGCCTCTGTTGCTGACTACGCAGATCCTCTGATCAACAAACTGGATACAAACAACTACGGATTCTACAAGTTCTTCAGAGAGCACTGAACTTACAATGGGAATTACACAAAAGACTTAAGCAAACTTGGAAGAGACCTCAAGGATTGTATTATAGTAGATAATCTCCCAAAGAGTTATTCTAGCCAGCCAGAGAACGGGATCCCGATCCTGTCCTGGTATGATGACAAGAGCGACAGAGAGCTGGATGCGCTCTTCCCGTTACTAATCATGCTATCCAAGGTGGAAGACATTCCTCGGTATATCAAAAGGTTTGTAAAATAAAGACAAAATTGATTACGATACCTTATACTCTCTGTTTGATAAGAAACCAGAGTTTCGCAACTTCGTTCGGAAAATATACGAGATCAAGGGAAGTTCCCTTTCACTGAAGAGACAGTTAAACCCGCAGCCTGAGCAGAGGAGCTTGAAAAGAGATCAGGAAAATAGAAATATTACTGCTAATGAAAAGCATAACCCTTCGAAAAGGTACAGACTTAGTATAAAATTGTAGGAAGAAAAGAGAGAATAAGACTAAAATGTTCAAGAAAAACAGTTATGAGTCTCCTAAAAAGACCAAATTAAATCAGAATAAAATAATTACCATTGAAGAGAACTACTCTCAGACTAAAACATATCAGAAGGGCAATATAGATTCAGTCAAGAGGGAGGGAAGGCACAGGGAGAACGAATGCCAGCCAACCCCTTCTAAGTCAAACTCATCGCTCAGTAATTCTCATCATAAGAAGAGTAAGAAGGGAGGATTGGGCCTTTCAAGCCGCAAGAATTCGAACCCGTTTCAGACATGACACAAGCCCACAAGTGTCAAAGTGGAGCAATAAAAGTGATATGTCTAGACACCCCTCAAAACTCTTCGTTAAACTCGATTCCAACTACTGATGAGAGAGGAGAGAGCCTTCAGTACAAATGTGACCGGATTGCAATAATGAAGAACAATTTCATGCCCAACAAAATCAGTAGGGACAAGGTCATCAAGAGGGTAATGCTATAAATAATCTGTTGTAGGGATACCATACAGAAAACTTTGCTAAGAATTTAAGAAACTGCTCCTCTGAGACCAAGAAGGCATTCAAAAAGACTTTGAATAATAAGATTATGCATAAGAAGTCTATGAATACTGACACTTTGGATCAGAACTGCAGTCGTATGGAAGAGATATCCATTGAGAATCAATCAAAAGTAGCCCCTACTAAGTCTAAATTTTCGAGTAACGACCAGGCTAAGATTAAGCACAAGAATAGGAAGAAGAGAATCTTGACGGAATGATCTAATTTTGATTCTAAATAAAGATCATCAGACTACCTCCTGCACTCCTGTATCCCAAATAGATTTCTACGCTACATCTGATCCTGCAATGAAGCACTATACCTCTTTGACCAATGAGACCAAGATAAAGCAAAGAAATTTTGGGTATTTCCAAGAGATGCACCATTCTTTGACATCTCTAAGACAGAAAAATTCTCATATGAGGACAAGCCTGAATAAAAATCTGATGTTCTGAACTAAGAAGTCCGACTCAAAAGACTTAAAGGGCAAGTGTAAGAGCCCAAGGAAGAGTTTTAGCCCAAAGTCTAATTTCTATTACAGCTCGAAGCCCAAGCAGTCTTCTCAAGTAAATTCTAAGTCTAAGCAGGATGCTTTCAAGCATTGAAGATTGAAGACACGAAGGAAAACAAATACTGCAAATGACCAGTTTCATATAATTAATGAAGAGACATTTATAGTAGGTACAAGAGCGCTTAAAAATAGATTTGAAGGCCTTCAGGTAGCCTCAAATCTGGGCTTAGAGGGATAGATTTGGTAACACTTGCCTTCTTAGATGTCTATTATGCAATTGACACTGGCTTTTTAAAGGTGTCATAACTTCTTAAACTATCATTTTCACTATACTTCCTGCATAGAGTCAAAAGTAGGGCTGAAAACAGCTTTGTCAAAGAAGCTCTCCTCTTCAAATCCACCTAATAAATCACAACACAAATTTCCTTCAAAATCAGGGACTCCGAAGGCTCATAACTGAAGCTCGAGATTGAGCTTCCAGAACGAGAGTAAATAAGGAGAACCAGAATATGAACTCCAAGAGAGTCTCGAAAGAGAGACGCAAGCTTAGTCCTAGCCTCAAAGCAACTAAGAAGAAGGAGGTATGGGGTATCCCAAAGAGAATCAAGGATAGGAAGAGTAGCACAAAGGCTAAGAAAATGCACCGCATGGGCCTTTTCATGGGTAATGAAACTATAAGAGGTCTAAACCTTGTGTTCCCAGGGAATGGCACACTTTTAAAACCCAGGAAATCCCATAAGAAGAATATTAATACCAGTAGGGTTATGCTAGGCCCTAGACAGAACTCTTAGAAACAGAGTTATCAGATTATGAGATTACCAATTCATTCTGAAATTAATTTATCTTTCAATTTTAAGCTTTCTAAGGGGTTTTGGGGTTTTGGGGTTTTGGGGTTTTGGGG